GCGATTCCCCTGATACGATCGAAGCCTCGGTTGCCAGAGGCAGCAAAGCGGCCCCGCGGCGGCAGCAGGATGGAACCCCCGCCCCAACTGTCGGGAGGGGCTTCTTTTCCTTCTCATCTCGCCTGCGCCGTCTGCGAACGAACCGTCGGCGCTCTATTTTGGTTTCACGCGTCCACAGAACGTTTGCCCGGAGGCGACGTGGCTCGGCAAAGCTTTGTCGTTCCTTTTTAGGTCCTCGCCTCAGGAACGGCGTCACTCACGAAGCCCCGCTCGGTTGGGTGTGCGGCGAGCGCTACTTGTCGGAAGCGTGATCCCTCGCTGTTCTAGGCCCACCTTGGAAGACTTGCGTCATGGATATTTCTCTCGCCCCGACGTCCAGGCAGGTTCCGGATCGTTCCACGTCTCTTCATCACATGAGGCAGCGTTGAAACGGAGAGCCCAAGGTTTTTGGAGATGGCTCCGTACACTTTGGAAGTTCTCGTGTTGGCGCCTGACGGCGCTTCTGACGTCCTCAGACAGCTGCCTCCTTTTCACCCTCAGACAGCTGCCGCCTTTTCACCATTGTGACAAAGGGGGAGAACGCGCCGGGCCGCCTTTTAAAACGCCAAAGTCAATATTTTGTCACCTGGCTACGTACGGGCCATTTCGAAAAGGTGATTGTCATTTGTGATCGAGCAAGGCCGGTCACAATTTGTCCGCGTCCCATAATAATGGTGAGCTGAACCGTATTTTCCATTGGACCGCAACATGGCGGGTCCCCAAGAAACCAAAACAAGATCACGGCGGTGTGGGACATTGGCATGTTGCAGGAATGTTCTCCAAATGATCATTGGAAAACGTGAACGCCGACGGGGACTGATAGGAAGGGAATGCCGCACGTGGATATTGATCCGTGTCCTGATTGTGACAAATCACGAAACCGAAACCTGATCTGTGACATTGCGGCACGGTTGAGGAGCCAAACGCAGGGAAGCGGGGAGCTGAGGCCAACGACAAAGCGAAACGGCAAACTTGTAGGGTGACGAGCGCACGGTGACGTTTGGCGGTGCTTTCGGCAGCTGGTGTGTCTGCTGACCTTCTGGCTGCTGCTGCGTCAGGCTCGTACGGAGAAGACCGAGCGACAGGAAGACGGACGGGCGAACTCTCGGCCGTCCGCCGTCTGCGTCCGCGTCGAAGGTGAAGCGTCTTCGGCGGGCGGCGCCTCCTCCTTTCTGAGCGCCGGCCTTCCCGGCTCTCGCTTTCCAGACGAGGAGAAGATGGAAGCGATTTCCTATGAGAAAGCTCTCCTGCTGGAAGGAGGAGTTCAGATGGATGCGCTGCTGGCGGCGGTGACCGGGATGTTCGTCAAATATTGGATCTACGTGTGCGGCACCATGTTCTTTTTCGTCAGTTTTGAAGGCCAGATGGTCCTGTACAAGGTCATCTACATGGTGATGTTCCTGTGCTGCGTGGCCCTCTACCAGGTAGGGTAGCGGCAGTCCCTTGCCACGGATGACCGCGTTTGCCGTTGATCGCGCGCCCGCCTCTCCCCCCTGCAGTTGAACTATGAAAAGTGGCGAGCCTGGCTCCGGGGCTTCTGGGTCGCCGTGGTGGTTTACTCCATGTTGGTCCTCTTTCTGGTCTACACCTTCCAGTTCCCCTCGTCCCTCCACACCTGGACCTACTACACCGGACTCAGCACTCACAGGTCGGTGCGCCGGCGCCGCTTGGGTCTTTGCAGGACGCGTCCGTACGTTCCGGTGTCTTTTGTCCCTCCAGGTTAGAGGATCTGGGTTTGCAGAAGTTCTCGGTCCCGGTCCTCTTCACGAGGATCTTCATCCCCACGGCTTTTCTGCTGGTGCGGATCGACAAAAGTGACAGGACACCGATCGACCAAATGCTCGCGCTAATGCTGGTTTTCATTTTGCAGGTGTGTATTGTTCACCTGCACTACTTCCACGAGCCGTTCCTCCGGCTGACCGACCTCAAAACCGTCGTGGACACGCACAACAGCACCATCACGAGGTAGAATGCAAACCGTCAAACGGCCAATCGGAGGTCACGCGACCCGAGGCCGGCGCGCCGCCGATCAAAGGCCTCGGAAGATTGGTGACCATTGTCAAGGTCACGCGACCCGATGGCAACTCTTTGCTCGCCCGCGTGCCGTCTTGCGTCACTTGTCACAGTTCGCTCCGGTCGATTTACACGTCGTCGGTTTCTGTTCAACACGCCGTCTGTGTTACGCGTGTCCCTCGTCGCTACATGTCACTCGTGTTTCAGGTTGGTCCACTCCGAGGGCAGCCTTGTGGACGTGTCGGCCGGAGGAGCTTCTCGGCTCTTTGCGGAAGAGGAGGGAGTAGGAGTGGCGTCGGAGAAACAGGAGCAGCCCAAGGAGGAGTGGGGACGGGAAGAAGAAGAAGAAGAAGTGGAGGAGGGAAAGAATTACGCCGGGATATTTGAGGGGGAGAGCCTGTCGGAGCACACGGCAGGTAAAGCGAGCTCGTCGGGGCGGAGCGCAAGCAACAAGCGGAGCTTTGGCTGATGTGTCTGCAGTTTTGGGCTCGTGGAGGTTGGTGGTGGACCGTCTCTCGGTCTTGTTCCTGCGCCTCCTCCTGTCTCTGCAGCGCCTACAGCGCCTCCTCTGGTGGCTCCTGGAACTTCACATTTTGAAAATCGTCTCCTCTTACATGATTTGGATGGCGGTGAAGGAGGTCCGTGAAAGTCGCCGCTGTCGGGCGTCCTGCCGTCTCCGTACGCCTGTCTCACCCCCGCCCCCGCCCCGCCCCCACTCTCTTTCCAGGTGTGTGTGTTCAACCTGCTGTTTGTGGTGTGCGTGGCTGTGGCTCTGCCCTGCAGGGCCTGGCGCCCCCCGGTGGCTGGAGTGTGCACCGTTTGGACATGCACGGTGGCCATTTGTAAGATGTTGTACCAGCTCAACATCGTCCAGCCCGACACGTGCAACTGCACCGTGGTAACTTTGGTCCGGCCGGCCGTCTCGCCGTGTCTGTCGATGTTTCTCAAGATCAAAATGAATGAGATGTATTTTTGTAAAGATACCGCACTGTGTGGCCGTCTTCAGCCAGGTAACGCCTCCACCGACGTGTCTACCTCAGTCTTGTATGCTGCTCCGATTGACCCCGCCCAGTGGGTGGGGCTTCGCAAATATGAGGGAAAACTGCTGGACTATTTGAGGGTGAGACCGGTCGACGCTTTGGCGCTCCGCCGGCTGGCTTGCCTCATTTGAACTCGTTTTCGCAGCACAACCTGATGACGCTCGCGCTTTTAGCCTTCGAGGTGACCGTTTACAGACACCAGGAACTCTACCGTCTGCGATGCAACAAAGTCCCGCCTCGGAGCGGAACTTTGTTCCGTGACATCAGCAGGCATCACCTGGATCAAAGCGTGCTGAGCTGCGCCAAGTACTTTCTCAATTATGTCTTTTACAAGTTTGGCCTGGAGGTGAGCGACTGTCGGCACTCATCGGAGCGTCTTGAGAAATTGGGGGGAACGGAAATGGTCGACTCACGTTTGTCTGCGCGTCAGATCTGTTTCCTTTTGGCGGTCAACGTGATCGGTCAGCGGATGGATCTCTTCGCCGTCGGCCACGCCTTGGGCCTCATCTGCATCCTGTCCAGGCGCAGCAGGAAGCGAATCGGTTCGGTGTGGCCAAAGTACTGCTACTTCCTGTCGGCGCTCTTGTGCCTCCAGTATCTCTTGTGTATTGGATTCCCGCCTGCCGCCTGCAAAGGTAAAGGTCCTCCGCCAGATGCTACCAGGCTGTTGCTTCGCGTAATAACTGGGCTGAGAATAAGTACGTGGCGGCACACGAACAGCACGTCTGCCTCTCAGTGCCGATCGGAATCGAGTGTCCGGTTTGCACGCATGACCTGCATCATGAGGACAAGCGCTCTGAAAATGGACGGGTCGGACAAGGATTGGACTTGGAGAAGCACAAAACCTGTCGAAATATGTATGCGCTCCCTTCCATCGCAGATTATCCCTGGCGGCCGCCGACTTCCAACATGGACTCCAATGTGGTGAAATGGCTTTTCCTGCCAGATTACCTGACTCCTCCGAATCCATTCTTCCTTCTCTGTAAGAAAGATCCTCGTTCTCCTCCTTGAAGCAAATGTGAACAGGAAAAGACATTGTGTGTGTGTGTGCGTGTGTGTGTGTGCGTGTGTTTTCTCCTCCTTGAAGCGAATGCGAACAGGAAAAGACATTGTGTGTGCGTGTGCGTGTGCGCGTGCGCGTGCGCTCCAGACGACTTTCTGCTTCTGCTGGGCGCTTCGCTGCAGCTTCAGGTGTTTGAAGACGAGCGTGACGCTGCCGTCCGGGCGCTCGCGGGGGACAACGGCGAGGTGGATGTAGAAGACAGACACGTGTGGGATCCGGTCACCAGGCTCCATCTCAGCGCCGTCCCCGACTTCATGCTGTGCAGGTGAGCGGCGGCCGCGCCGCATCCGCTCTGCCCTCGGCCGTCTGCGTCTCTGACCTTCTGACCCTCGGGCGCAGGTCTTACCTGGATATGATGAAGGTCATCATTTTTAGCTACATGTTCTGGTTTGTCCTTACCATCACCTTCATCACTGGAACCACCCGGTGAGTGAATGAAAGGGCTCATTTCTGCACCATTAGTCGAACCCCAAAGCCGACGCAGACCGCTGATGAAAAACCTCAACGTCCATTTCCCGACAAATCTGCAATTAAAAAAACAACCCCCCCCCCCCCAAAAAAAAGACATCCAGAGGGTTGGCACGGTGGCTTAGCACGTCCGCCTCGCAGCGCAGAGGTGCGGGGTTGGATTCCAGGCTGCGGCCTTCCTGTGTGGACCTCGCATATTCTCTCCGCGCCTGAGTGGCTTTCCTCCCACATTCCCAAGATAACGCACGGCGGGTCGACTGAACGCTCTAATTTGTCCCTAAGTGTGATTGGTTGTTTGTTTACGTATGCTGCCCTGCGATTGGCTGGCAACCAGTTGAGGGCGTACCCCACCCGCTCCCCAAAGACAGCCGGGATGGGCTCCAGCACGCCCGCGACCCTCCCGAGAAGAAGCCCATCAGATAATGGATGGCTGGATCAAGTGCAAGTAGGACAGATAACTGAGGAACAAAAATGCGATCGGAGGACAGGCGCAAAGCAAGGAGGGTCTCCGGGAAAATGGCAGAACCTTGCACTTGTACACTGGAAACGCATCACGGGAAGACATCCAGCAAGTCGTCGGTCAAAACCCAGAAGCGAGACAGGGTGCGCTCCAGCGGCGGGTCGTAACAAGGGAGTGTCCTCGGGTTTGGACTAGGACCGATTGGCAGGGGCGCCACGTTGCTCACTGCGCCACCCGGTGGTCGTAAAAAAAAAACAAACAAAAACAGACCGACTGAACAGAAAACAAACCCGACGAACGTCAGAGCGGACGATGACGACTGTCCGGTTCTGTTGGAGTTTGTTTCTACCTGTCTTGCAGGATCAGCATCTTCTGCATGGGCTACCTGGTGGCGTGTTTCTATTTCCTGTTGGTGGGCGGAGACCTGCTGCTGAAACCCGTCGGCTCCATCCTGCTCTATTGGGACTGTCTGATCGGCTACAACGTCTTCGTCATCGCCATGAAAAACATCCTGTCCGTACGTCCGTGTTGATTCTCGGGCATCTCGGTCACGGTCATCCGCGAAATGCAGACAAATGGATCGACCCAAACGCTTTGAATTGGAACGTTGAGCTTTTTAACGGCGAACTGTACGTCACCCGCCCACAAGAGTGCGCTCGCCTCCACCTGATGCGGATTCCGTCCGCGCGCGTTGACATTCGCGGAAGGATGCGCGCGACAATCACACAACCTGCGGGTGTTTTTTTTTTGGTTGTGTTTTTTCGAACCGCCGCAGATCTTGGCGTGCGGTTTCATCAAGTCGTTGGTCGTCGACCACTGCTGGCTGGTTCAGCTCTTCAGCCTGGCCTGCACCATTCGAGGATACGCCAAGCGTGAGTATGCCGTCCGTCGCTCCGCTCGGGGCGGAGCGGCGGTCTCGGGGTTCGATCCCCGGCCGCGGCGCCCGTGCCCAAGTCTCCTTGGGCAAGATAGCGAAGCCCCGGTCGCTCCTGATGCCGCGTCATCGGGTTTCGTCTCGGCAGCCGCGCGGCAGAGCAGTCAACAATGCGAACTGCCCAGCGACGAGGCGGGAATCATCTGGGACGGCGTGTGCTTCTGCTTCCTGTTACTGCAACGGAGGGTCTTCAGGAGTCACTACTTCCTCTACGTAGTGCTGGACCTGCAAAACACGCAACTGCTGGCCTCCAGGTAAAAGACCGGACAGACGCCCGCGCGGGCCCGTACGCGCGGGTCACGCCTCGCCCGTTTTGCAGGGGGGCGGAACTTTTTGAGGCGTCCACCGTGAAAGCTGTGCGAGCCCGACTGGAGGTGGAGAAGATGTCCGTGGACCTGCTGAAGAGACAGTAAGGCAACACTCCCCTGGTTTCCGTGCGCGCGACCCCCGCCGCCTCGTCAAGTGTGAAATGGCGACGGGCAAAAAATGAAACGCGTGCGACCGTGTCCCGATTGAACGCGAGTCTGCCTTTCAGGATGGAGAGGATCAAATGTCGCCAGCAGAAGTTCCGCCGAGGAAAAGAGAAAATGCTCAGTTTGACCCAAAAGAGCCCCCGCGCTGACGGTGTGTAAGGCGAGGCGCCGGTGTCGCCGCGATGACGTGCGAACGGACGGACGGACCCCCTTCGCTTGATTGCGTCGCTCTTCTCTTCAGCTCAGGAAAAGACAAAGGGCAGAAGAGCGCACGGCGATTGGTGGAGGCCGTGGGTCAACCACGCCTCCAGTGAGTCGCGAGCGCCCGACGCTCCCGCCGCCCCCGACCGGCTTTGCCGTAACCGAGGCTTTACGTCCGCAGTGGTGCGGAGCGGAGACTACTTCCTGTTCGAGAGCGACAGCCAGGAAGATGAAGACGACCAAAAGGATGACGAGAAGGAGGAGCGGGAGGGTCCCGACAAATCTGCCTTTCAGGTGGCTCACCCGCTCATGCTCTACTTCATCTCCACATTTTATTTCCCTTCCTTCCTTCCTGACTGGGCAATCGGCCCCCGTCAGGGACTTGCGCCCCCTCCCGGGTCCCACACCCGGCACGATTCCCGCTGGTGCCTCGCGAGGTTCCCCACCAACACATTTTATTTAGTTCCTCTCCTCCTCCTCCTCCCAACTTCATCGGTACTGTACATGGATGTCTTCTTCTCCTTCCCTTCCGCTCTCTTCAGTGCTATTCTTGGCTGAGTTTGGTTCTCTCGGTAATGCCGGCGCATCTCCTTCTCTTCTCTTCCTCATGTCTGACTCATGCGGTGCAGTTTGTGTACCACGCCTGGATAACGGACTCCAGAACCGCCCTGCGAGCTCGTCACAGCCAGAAAAAGGTGAAGAAGCAGAGGCCTGAGCCCAAGACGGCGTCTTGGGAGCAAAGCGGAGGAGAGGACCCGTCAGGTATTTGCACTCGCGCAAAGAAACCAAAAAGTTGAGGACTAAAAGTGCCACTCGTTCTTCTAGCGCGCGGCGTGACGGAGGTGACGGAGGACTCGGAGGAGGATGCGCAGAAGGACGACAAGGAGGAGGGACCAGGTCGGACGATTGACTCACTCAATGTTATTGTGGGGGGGGGGGACTTGTTCTGAGAATTCCTCAAATCAGTCTTGATAGACAAAGTCACTTGCGCAGCTTATTGGCGTTGCGAAGAAGTCAATCAACATGAGCCACTTTTCCACGCTGTAGCGGGTCCACCCCGCCCTGTTTCGGTGGCACTTTTTCAGGACCGTGCGGTGACAGTCGAGCCCTTCCTCAGAGCCTCCTTGTAGGCGATTCTTTCAGCGACGCGGCAAGTAACTCCGCCGCGCGTACCCGTTTCTCGCTTTCGGCCACAAGAATGCAGCATATGCGGTACACATACTGCATGTTGGCTTTTGCAGCATTACAGAACCATATTTGCTCTTTCATCTGGAACGGTGGATGAAATCAGTCAATAAATCGATGGCTCGATAGCAAGCCGTGTGCGCGTTGTTATTGCGCTTCAAGTGAATGGCTCCGCGCCGTCTCCATTCCGGAGAGTGAGGGGGAGCCCCGTCTTTCAACATATCCGCCTTCCGCTTTAGGGCCGCCGCTGCTGCCGCCGCACACCGCGCGACGTCAGTCAAGGACACGCCGCTTGCTACAGAAACACGACGCGGTCGACGATGAAGATCAAATAAATCGAAAGACAGTACTCGCTCTCATTCAGTTGAACGACGTCTGCGCGGCACGACTGCGATTCCGATTTTGAACCGCCGCAAAAGCGCTCGCCCGGACTCGGCCGCTCATAAACTCGATGGCAGAACCGCGCGTGCTTCGAGCGCGCAAGTGGAATTGCATCGCGCAACTCAGCGGATCCCCTCGCAAAGGATGGGCGGAGAAGCAACGCAGGCGAGGCCGGGGCGCAGTGGGAGCGGGCCGTTCCGCAACTTGAATGAAAAAGAGCCAACGGCGACATTCGGGCCCGAGGAGGTTCGCGACGCGGATTTTCACGCGCTCTCGTTTGACGTTTCAGATACGGTCCTCCGTCGGGCCTCCAACATCCTCCGCTTCTGCTGGGTTCTGTTGTCGGCCCTGCTGGACTCGCTGACCGCTTGGCTGTGCGGTTTGTGTCGCGAACACGCCGACATCTCCGCCGTGCTGCGCATCGAGCGCTGCATGCTGACCCAGCAGGCCAAGCGGGTACAAGTCGGACGGCGACCGAAACGGCAGAGCGTCCGTCCGCTCACGTCTCCCGCTTGCGTTCTCAGGGTCAAGTGCCGTCCCGAGAGGCCATCCACTTATACTACCGGGAACAAATGACGCGCAGTTCCGCAGAATGGGGAACGGACTCGAGTGGTCCTGAGCGAGAGGTCCGCATCGGCGATACGGACGAAGACGAGAGCCCGGGAGGGGGGGGCGGATACGCCTTCGCCCCCAGAGATGAAAGGGAAGCCGATGCCTCCGCGGGCCTTGCGGAAACGGACCGGCCGGGGTGCTTTACGGCTCCGTCCGGCCAACGGCGCCGAGCCAAACTGACCAGGACGAAGAAGGCGGCGTCGTCTTCGTCGTCATCCTCCGATGAGGCTGACCGCAGGTAAGTCCCCTCGAGGTCGCGACGGCAACTTGATCTTCCGACGCTTCGCCACGCTGAATGGGCCGAAGCGCTATTTGGCACGATATTTCACCCATTGAATAAAATACAAATCCCAAGGCAGCCCGTCATCCCGTGAAACTAAAATGTCTCAAAAGGCACATGTCCCGGAGTGACACCGCGATTAGCCATGTACTCGGGGTTGACTCGCTGGAGGCGGCCCTTTCCACGAGTGCTTCGCTCCTCTGCCTCATTGGGAAGCTGAGGGCTTCCGTGCGGCATTGGCAGATTCCACCTGCTCTTGCCCCACGGTGGCTTTTCTGCGACGATTCTGGCTCCCCCCGCATTCCAAAAACGCGCTTCACTGAAGAGACTCGCTTGTCCGGCTGCGCGTGGCAGCGCTCGTTTGTGCGCACGCGACCCGCGACAAGTCCAAGGTGTTACCGGCCCCTCGCCTGGAGTCGGACCGGGATGGACTGGGCTCCGACTGACGCGCAACCCAAACAAAGGATAAGCGCCAAATTTGGGGACGATTCGTCGAAGCCAAAGCTGCTATTGTCTTGCGTAATCCATGGCTCATTGGAAGCGGGTGGATCGACAGGTTCACGGCACCTGGGAGCGCAGTTCGTGGGCGTGGCCGTTGCCCGCATGGACCGACGAACAAAGGCGATGGATAACGTTTCGTCCCGGTGAGGTGCGAAGCGGATCATTTTCTTGGGAAGCGCTCTTTTAGACTTTGGGATTTACCGCCCCGAGAGGAGCGCTCGGTCACGTCGCGCGCGCCGCCGGCCAGCGAGCCGCCCGCGCCTCTGAACGAGTGAATTTGTTCCGAGTCGCCAGTCTGAGAGCAACTCGCCGCCGAAACATTTTCCAAAGGGCTCGTTGTGTACCGCGCGGCGCGGCGGTCACGGTGCGCGTCGCTTGTTTCCGCAGTGCCGGAGAATCGAACGAACAAGCTCCCAGCCGCGGGTCTTCCGGGGCCGCCTCCCCCTCCTCTCAGGCTTCCCGCGGTCACGCCCCGGGTCCGGACATCCGCGAGCAGGGAAGGGAGCGAGACGGCTCCAAAGAGAGAAGGCACGAGGCGGAGGCGGGACTAAGACGGCAGGGGACCGACTTCCCGTCCGGAGGCGCCGCCGCCGCTTCCTGTCGGTCGGCGTCTCGGCCTCAGGAGCTGACGGCGAGTGAGCTTCTGAAGAACAGGTGAGGCCGACCCACCGAGAGCGTCGACCGTACGTGGACCTGACCCGAGGGCGCTTTGCGATCCGATTCTCTTTTGGACAGGACCTTCCACAATGCGGAACTGGAGGCGTCGGACCATTTCTACCGCGAGCAACCCCAGCTCCTCCAGCTATGCTACGCCTTTTACAACATCCTGGCTTCCAGGTAGCGTCCAAAAGCGCCGTCTGCCGCCAAACGGTGATGATGACCATGATGAAAATGGGAAATTGGACAAAACGAGCATCGTGGCGGCGGACCGGCTAGCGGTCGAGCCAGACTCATCGGCTAAAGCTCCAAAGAACCGACCGATGTCTCGTCCCAGGTCAGAGACGGTGTGCTACCTGGTCATTGTCTTGAACCACATGGCGTCGGCCAGCTGTCTCACCTTGGTACTTCCCGTCCTGGTGTTTCTGTGGGCAACGCTGTCCGTACCCCGACCCAGCAAGACCTTCTGGATGACGGCCATCATCTACACCGAGGTTCACGCCGCTTCTAAATGTGTTGGTTCCAAAAACGAGGTGCCATCAACACGTCACGCCATCTCGCCGGCCTTGCAACTTGAGACGCTTTCGGAGACGTTTTCAGAACGCTAATAATCGTTTTTAGCAAATGGCATTTTACCCTTTGAAAGTCTTCTTCTCTTCTTTTTTCCACACCCGAGCCGGGGACGTGCTAACGCTCGGGACTGTCTCCTTCAGGTCACCATCGTGCTCAAGTATTTCTTCCAGTTTGGGTTCTTTCCCTTCAACCAGAAGCTCGAGGTGGACCGCTCAAAGCCCTTCCACCCGCCCAACATCCTCGGGGTGGAGAAGAAGGAAGGCTACGTTCTGTACGACCTGCTGCAACTGCTCGCTCTGTTTTACCACAGAGCTATTCTGAAGGTAAACATGCTCAGTGGCGCTGCGGCTGCCGCCGTGCCAAAAAACGACCACATCACCACCGACAACAAAAACAACAGCCACTTACTGCCGTTTTGTTTTTGCTTTTGTTTTTTTTTTCTCCTTCCCTCCTCTCGGACCTGACCCAGTGCCACGGACTTTGGGACCAGACCGTCTCCGCCGAGCCTCAACATCACCGTGACGAGCAGGCAGAATTTAGTCCGGGTTCCGCCCCCACCGACGGGGTGTCCTGGCGTGGCGAGAGCCAGGCCCGGCTCAGCGCGCCTGCGGGTGAGATGGAGCGCACCCTCACAAAAGCGAACATGAAGACAAAGCGGACAAAACAAGGTTTTTGCTTCGGGTGGGTGGGGCGGGCCTTCAGTCAGTCAGTCAGTCAGAAAGCAGATGACCGCATGAAGATACTCCAGGAAACGGATGGATGCAATGTACACGTTTCATGTTGGTCCTGTTGCTTCCCCCCCCCCCGTTGTTTTTTCAGGCAGTCTGCGTTCCGTCAAACAGCTCAGCAAGTTGGACCTACTCACGGAGAAACTAAGAGAACTTTCCATCCGGACCAAGCAGTACTGTGTTTCCAAGTATGCCGAAGCGAAGCGCGTGAGCCGAAGCGTGCGAGCGCTTTGACCGCGATGGCTCTGACATCCGCGCCCACCAAACTCTTTCAGGTGCAAGTCTCTTTCCAGTCCAGCGCGTCGGTTCCTCCGAGCTCTGGTCCGACCGGAGTACAGCGCCGTGACAGACGTTTACGTTCTCATGTTCCTGGCGGACACCGTCGACTTCATCATCATCGTCTTCGGCTTCTGGGCCTTTGGGGTAGACTTTCGCATCTCGCGAGCGAGCGCCGGTCACAAAAATTGCGCTCGGAGTGAATTGAAAGAAAATGTGCCCGCTTCTTAGAAACACTCGGCGGCCGCCGACATCACTTCCTCCCTTTCGGAGGACCAAGTTCCCGAAGCGTTCTTGGTCATGGTTCTGATCCAGTTCGGTACGTCTCCCGCCCGAACGAGTGGCCGTCCGTCTCTTCGTCCGCGCGGCTGTCTGACTCGTCCGGCGTGCGTCTTCAGGCACCATGGTGATCGACCGAGCTCTGTATTTAAGGAAGACCGTATTGGGAAAGTTGGTCTTTCAGGTGATTTTGGTGTTGGGGATCCACTTCTGGATGTTCTTCATCCTGCCGACTGTCACCGAGAGGTAAATCGTCCTCGTTTCCAGTGATTGAAATCCAAGCCAAAGCGTTTTTACACAAGAGGCCGCGTCCGTCTGTCCGCCCGCGCTCGCGTCTAGACGCTTCAATCGCAACCTGGTGGCTCAGCTGTGGTATTTCGTCAAATGCGTTTACTTCGGCTTGTCGGCCTACCAAATCCGCTCCGGATACCCCACGCGTGTCCTGGGCAACTTCCTGACCAAGAGCTACAACTACCTCAACCTGTTCCTGTTCCAGGGGCAAGTCGCCACCGCAGTCCGTCACTGGATCTCGCGGTCGCCCGCCGAGCGCGAGCGCGCGAGTTGATCTGTTTTGCCCCCCCCCGCGCAGTTTCCGTCTGGTTCCTTTCCTGACCGAGCTGCGGGCGGTGATGGACTGGGTGTGGACCGACACCACCTTGTCTCTGTCCTCCTGGATCTGCGTGGAGGACGTCTACGCCCACTGCTTCGTCCTGAAGTGCTGGAGAGAGTCCGAGAAGGTGCGGAGCGACTCGGTCCAAAGACCGAGCGGAGAGACCCGAGAGCCCTAAAGTCTGCTTGTGCTCCGGTCTTCAGCGATACCCCCAACCTCGGGGTCAGAAGAAGAAACGAGTGGTGAAGTACGGGATGGGAGGCTTGATCGTTCTGCTGCTGATCTGCATCGTCTGGTTTCCTCTGCTCTTCATGTCGCTGATCAAGTCCGTGGCCGGCGTTGTCAACCGGCCGCTGGACGTCTCTCTGACCGTCACTCTCGGAGGCTTCCAGGTAAGCGCGCGCGCGCACGCGGGCGAAAAGGCCTCGACGCAAGCCCGTCCGTCCTCGGTGACGCCGTTGGTCCTTGCCAGCCCATTTTCACAATGAGCGCGCAGCAGAATCAGCTGAAAGACCTGATGGAGGAGGACTTCCGAGCCTTGGTTCGCTCCTACAGCTACACCCCAGTAAGGCCTCCCTCGCGCTCCCGTCGGTCTGGTCGTTCCGGCGCGGCCCCATCGCTTTTCTCCCCCTTCAGAGCGCGTTGCAGTTTCTGGAGGCGTACGGCCACGAGGACGTGACCGTGGCCGAGCTGCAGGGGAGCAGCAACTCTCTGTGGACCATCAGTCCACCCAGCAGGCGATACCTGAGCCAGGTGCTCCACCTGGACCACTTTCCCCTGACCTTGTCCTGGACAGTTCAGAGGTCACATTTACTTTCTTTTGGACAAACACCAAATCCCCCTCCAAGACGGAAACTGACCCCCGCCCCCACCCCCATTTTTTCTCTCTCTCCCCCCCCTAAATCCAGGAACTTAAGTCTTGGCGCGAAGGCAGAGCTGGCGTCGGGTAAACACGTGTCCTATCTGAACGATCAGACTCGTTTGGAACTGATCCAGCTGCTGAATGGCACCAGAACACTTCCTGTGTGAGTGACAACTTTGGGCAGGGACGCACTTTTTGTCATCGTTATTCAAAGCGTTTGCCGTCCGAAGCTCAGCCGGCGGCACGGCCGGCCGGGTTTGCCGCCGGCCGACTGCGTGTTTGTTTTTGTTTTTCAGCGTGATTGACGGGGTGCTGCCATCTTTCTTACGGGCTCCCAGCGACTCCAACGCCAAACCCGTGGAGCAGCTCTACGCAGGTTTCTGGTCTCTTTCTAGCCTTTTCCCCCCCGACGAAAAGAAAAAAAAACTTATTCTTTTTGACACGGCGTAACCTCAACGTTCAACGCCCGAGCGGGAATGAAACCTCGTCGAGGGCGTCAGGCTCCGTCCGTTTGTACTCGGGGTTACGGGGGCGGGACTTGCAAAAGTCTTGCAAGGCTTTGAATCCACCGATCTAAAAACAAGAAAGCTTGTGTCCAGTAAGCCCGCCTCCATTGCGGGCTTAGGATCCAGAGCACCCTTGCGAGAAGTGAATCTTCCCCATCGAGATACTCCCTCGCCATGTTTTGATCGCGTTGGTGGCAGTAAAGGTCTTTCAACACTCTTTCAAATCGTTGAAAGGCATTAAAAAGAGCCATGCGAGCAAAGGATAAAGCAAGCACAAGCAGTACACCGGTGTACCCATTCCTCTGAATCCCTTTTCTCTCGGCTTTTCTCTCGCTCTCCCTCTACACACACACAAACATGCAGAAGGAGCGCAAAGCCAGAACCCGCAACGGATGGGGGATGACATCTGTTTTGTTTGCGTTTCAATCAGACGGCCGCTACAAGGGCATTTTGCTGTCCCTGGAGCGAACGGCCAACGACAGCCAAGAGATCCAGGAGTGGTGGATCGTGGACCAACCCTCTTCCGGCCTGGTCCGTTTGGGAGGGAGCGCTCCGACAGACGCCAGGAGAGAGGCGGGGCTTCAGATCTTTGTGTTCAGCGACAAAGTCAGCCCGCCCAGTCTGGGCTTCCTGGCCGGATACGGGTACTGCGCTCGCTCGGATCGCTCGCCGTCGGCGGCGGCGCCGTCCGCTCCGTTCTTATTTTCTGCTTGCGTCCCGCAGCATTATGGGACTGTACGCCTCCGTGGTGTTGGTCATCGGGAAATTCGTGCGGGAATTTTTCAGCGGAATCAGTCACTCCATCATGTTTGAGGAGCTTCCCTGCGTCGACCGCATCCTGAAGCTGTGCACCGACATCTTCCTGGTACGACGGACTTTGTTCCGCGCGCTTGCGGTCGGAGGCCTCGCACGCACTCCCCGAAAAGATGGCGCGGCCATCTCGCATCTGATCGGCGCTTTGCGTTTCAGGTGCGAGAGACGGGAGAGCTGGAGCTGGAGGAGGAGCTTTACGCCAAACTCATCTTCTTATACCGATCGCCGGAGACGTTAATCAAGTGGACCAGACGCTGACGGAGCGCCGCGACGTCATCCCCGCCCGGAGGTTAGCGTTCGACCGTGTCCGACCTCGGGCGAGACGGCGAAGCCCTTTCTCGTGACTTGCGCGCGCGCTACTCGGTCCCGCCTCTGTCAAGTATCATCTCAAGTGTGAAATGTTAATAAATTGCGGGAGAAGTGAAAGTGTGCCCTCGGCCGAGGTGACGTCAAGTCAACGCGCGCGTCGCGCCCGCAAACGGTCCAGTGAGCGTGCGGGGCCGCGGCTACGCTTTCCCCTAAACGATCACTATGTCAAAAAAACAAAACAAACGTAGAAAGACAACTTTGCTTTTGGCCGCATCATTTGCAATCGGCTCAAAAGCGCACCCTCTCCCGTTTGTGCCGCGCGTCGTCAGTCGTTACCTTTCTTCCGCTTCGGCCTGCCCGTGCCCACTTTGTCGCAAAGTCGTTTCTGAATAGATGCGCTTGCTGCGAGTTCCTCTTTGATTTGTTGCCGTATTACTGTAGTTCCTGCGTTTTCCGGCGCACCGCACTGGGCTGTAAGGCGCACGCACCCTCTTTGTGAAGCGCCGCATGTTCGAGAGGTTATGCGATCAGATTTAGCGCCGTTGCGCTCGATTCAGAGCGGACACGGAATATCGGATGGCGCCGCGTGTTGTTCGCCGTGCCGCGACACGGGCTTTGCTATGAGCACAGAAGAGGAGGGGAACCTCCGACGGATGGCGAAACAAAGCCAAGTTTGCAAATGACCGGTCCGGCCGGTGGGCGGCGGCCTATGGCCAAGGCTCAACGCCATCTTGGCGGCCAGTTCGACAGGTGCGGACGAGTCCCGGCGCCGGCCGCGACGCAGCCCTTTGGCGCTTGGCCCCGGCAGCTGTTGGAAGCCCTCCGCGTCGTTCGCCGCACGAAAACCGCCGCCGTCAACGCTGGGCTCACGTTCGGTCTGACTGTAGCATGAGCGCTTTGAGTTTCGCTCAAATGAAGAGGAAGGAATTTGAGTCAAAGTCCGCAAAGCCAAACGCCAACACCAGAACCGATTCCGAGGCGCACTGACGATTTTGGAGGAAATGCCAGGATTTTAAGGCCACCCCACCACAACGCAGCAGTCCTGAAGTTGTCCCTAATTTGCAGTCCGGCGCCCCTGCCGTCTCTCGCGCACACCAAGAGCGGCCGCCTGAAGCCAAATCAACCAATGATGGATGACATCAGCTCTCAAGCAGGAAACTTTATTGAAGGAAAGTTTGGACAGCGCCGTTCAAAGTGGCCCGCTGATGAGACGAGCCGAGCCGAGTCGACGGCATTTTGGATGCGGCGAGCTCATCGGACGCCGACTCGGTCTCCCTGAGCGGAGGCGTTGGCAGACAGAAAGCAGCAATGATCTCCCGACGTCAGCGAAGCGGGCGGCGAACGGAAACGTCGCTCTTCAGCGCGCGACACGGAGCAAGATGATCAACATCCGCTCGGACGTCGTCCCGCGGCCGCGGGATGTCCTCCCGATGAAAAGGCAACCGAAGCGGCCGCTGAGATGAAGGCGCTCCCGCCGCAAAATGTTTGCTACGGGCTAGCGTGCGATCATCAAGCTAATAGCGGCTCAACGGCAACGTCTTTTCCGGCTTGATGTTTGGACACGGCTTTGTCTTCCCCACCAAGGAGCTGTCGCCGGTGTCCGTGCGCCGGCCGCCCGCTCGCCGCTTCTCTTCGTCGTGCGACGAGTGGGCCCGGTCTTCATCGCGCGACCGCTTCTCGTCCGAGGCGCGCGATCGGGTCACGTTTTCTCCTCGCGCGCGATTCTTCTCTTCGCCCCCGTCGGCGTCACGCGCTCGGTTGTCGTCTTCAGTCGCCGATGGGTTCTTTTCTTCGTCCCGTGACCGTTTTTCGCCGGCGTGATGCGATGAGGCGTTGTCTTCCTTGAAACATTCCTCGTGTTTAAGCATCAAGATGGAGTTGTAAATCTTGAGGGCGGGACCCAGTTTGATGGACATGATTCGGACGATGTCCCGCTGAGTGAGCAGAAGGAAGGCCCTCCCGTCGATTTGCTGGACAGAGCGGGGTCGTGGGCCAATCAGATGGCAGCGATGTTGAAGAACGGCCCATTTGTCTTCTCACCTCGTCGCCGAACCGTTGAGCCAGGTCCTCGCAACCGCGGAGCGACTCCACAAACGCGCACACCTGAAAGTCAGGCGCACGCACTCTCAGAGGTGTCTCGCTCGCGCGCGCACGCACGCAAGTCTTGAACGGAAAGCGGAAAGGCCGCCGCAACCTGCCGCACGCTCCAGCGGCGGACGGCGTCGGCGTGCGCTCGGGTGACCCCCGGCAGCAGTTTGCGGTGTCGCTCCCAACTCGGCGACCGGTCGCAGGCGGGCGGACGAAGGAGCTCTGCGACACGGACGTGCCCGCAATGGTCAGAAGGCGGCTTTTGCCGACGTGACGTGTTGACGGCAGGTACCTAGAGCGCGGGCTTGACCGCGAGGCTTCTCGTCTTCCACTTTGACCGGCAGCAACGCGGGGGGCTTCCGGAGCGGCCTGGCGGCACAGCGGGTACTCTTACGTTTCACGCCACGCAAAGCGTCACGTCGCAACGGGCGCGGCGCGTCTGACCTGTCGGCCATTCTTCTTCTTTTCACCGCGGGAGGCAGCGGAGCGTTCGGAGCCTCCATTTTCACCTCAGCGCTGTCCCTGCTGGACACACGCGACTAAAATCCCCCCGCAGCAACGCGGGGGGCTTCCGGAGCGGCCTGGCGGCACAGCGGGTACTCTTACGTTTCACGCCACGCAAAGCGTCACGTCGCAACGGGCGCGGCGCGTCTGACCTGTCGGCCATTCTTCTTCTTTTCACCGCGGGAGGCAGCGGAGCGTTCGGAGCCTCCATTTTCACCTCAGCGCTGTCCCTGCTGGACACACGCGACTAAAATCCCCCCGGCGGCGGCGGGGGCTTTTGAAACGGGG